CCTCTCCCAGCCCGAGCTGTCCCAGGTGAGCTGCTGCCCGCGGGAAGCCCCCACACCCGTGGGAAGGCCTGGGCAGGCCGGCAGCCCTGGTGCACGCCGACCCCACAGTGCCACCCCTGCACTATCACGGCACTCAGGAGGCGAGGTCTCCGGTGTTAGTGGAGGGACTGTAGATCTAGAACATTCCATCCATGACCTGTCCTGGACAACAGGTCTGGGTTACCTGTGTGCCATGGTGAGGCAACCAGTGTGGGTCTCCTGTCACCTGTCACCTAGGCCTGAGGACATGGTCTCCAGACCCTTCTGTGGGGTCAGAGCAGCTTCTCCCACGGGGGGTGCTCATCTCCCCAACTTTGTTTTTCAGGACAGTTACCTTGGCGATGAATTTAAGTCACAGATCGATGTGGCACTGTCACAGGACTCCACGTACCAGGGGGAGCGAGCGTACCAGCACGGTGGAGTGACAGGGCTGTCCCAGTACTAGAAGGCAAGCTGTCCTGAGGAGGTCCTCGTGGGGACTAGACATGAGGACGTCTGGGAAGTGGGGCGTTCAGGTCCTCGGGTCCCAGCTTGTCTGAGTGAGACCTGTCATTCTGGGAAAGTGAGCTTCATCCTCTGTATCATGGTTCTCTGGGAGTCCCAGGGCTCAGCAGGAAAGGCGAGGCTGTGGGGTTGGGGGAGGGTGCTGGGGTCCTGACCCCAGAGGTGCGGGTGTGTCTGGAGAGGGGTCCCGGGCCCCTCACCCCACCCTCTTGCCAGCACTGCTGGGAGAAGGCACTGAGGCCCCTGCAGGTTCAGAGGGCCCCCGGCCACCACCTGTGGGTGCCCAGCTGGCACCCTAGCCCCACTTCCCATGGGTGGAGTGGAGTTGGGAGGAAGGCCCTCCTGCCAGGCACCTTCTGACAGACACTTACCCCAGCAGGTGGCAGCGGAAGAGCTAAGCTACGTGGCTTAGTCCATCAGCATCTTATTCTGGGTAATAAAAAATAAAAATAAATGGATACCTGTTTTCCACTGCTAAAACTAAGCACCACTGAGCAACAGGAGAGGGAGAGGAGCACCGAGGGAGAGAGAAGCCCGAGGCGGAGTGAGCGCCCACTGCTGGCCCGCGGCGGCGGCGGCGACAAGGAGAAGGGAGAGCGGGCGGTGGGCAGCGAGGATGCCCGCGGCGAGCCCTGTCAGCCCGCTCGCCCAGGGGCCCAGCGCTTGCCCGTTCACACCTGGGTCTGTGACCAGGGCGGAGGGAGGAAGACCCTCATCTCAGAGTAGCCCTTTCCTCTGTTCTTTTCTTTCTTTTTCTCTTTTATTGAAAGGGGACTACATTTTAGCAGGAAAAACTTCGCATTTCTGTGCCGTGCAGGCTCCTTGCAGGTGGAAGCCATGCCGGGGGCCCATGGAGGTGCAGGTTCTGTCCATGCCGGCTCTGGAACCGCGCGGTCTCACTGCCTGTGTTCTAAGAGGGTTTTCATTTAAAGAAAATGCGGTGTTTTGGGTTTTTCTGTTTGGTTTTTAAAGAATCTTTCAAAGGAGTACCGAAAAATACACTTTTTTGAGTTTGTCTCTCAAATCTTAGTGGTGGACCTGGGAGATGTGAGAAGCTTCCAGACAACGTTTAAAGAAGCCAACACAACTTCAGATTAGGATCAACACCTGGGACGCAATTGTGACGATTTTTGTTCTCAGTTTTTAGCTTCCAGCAGCTTCTCTGCGTATCCAGGTGGTAAGGGAGCACCGTCCCGGGCCAGGTAGCCCCACGGTCTCTGCTGGACTCTGAGAAGCAAAGTGCTTCCCGTGCAGTGGACTCGGCCCCTCTGGAGGGGCCTCAGGCAGGACTGGCCAGGAGGCCAGAGGCCAGGAAAGTGGCTTCTTCCTCGGGGTCCTTCCCAAGGTGTTGGTGGAAGACAGCAACCAACAGGACCCTTCCCAGGGAGGCGCCCACAGTCTCTGTGGCCAGTTAGACAGCGAGCACCCTGCCCCCGTTCTCCACCCCCCTCCCCGCCACCTGCCAAGTTTGGAGCCCTTCTACTTGTGGGCACAGCTTTGGTAAAGTGGGGTGCTTTATGGTGGGGGACAGGTTGGGGGAGGCGTAAGTTTAAGAAATAAGCTGGTTCTGTGCCTGAAGGGGCTTGGAGTTTCACCCCACGTGGTGGACCCAGCATCTGCCTACATCTGGGTTGCCACTCAAGGTCATTGTAGGTGGAAGGGGCACCCCATCTCCTCACGCACCAAGACGGGGTGTTCGCCTCCCTGGTGACCACCTATTTGGGAACTGTCCCCTGCCTACCCGGCCCCATGTCTGTGGCTGAGGCTGGCCCTTACCCCAAAGTGTCCAGATTCCAGCTTGTACGTGGGAGAGGCAGGATGCAGGGCCACCTTCTGGCCAGGCCTCTTATTTATTAGCATTGCTGTAGGACTTTCAGTCCCCCTTTTTGGCTGTGTGGAGGCATAGTTTGGGTAGGTTTCTGCTCTGGCCCCTGTGACACCTCGTGGGCACTGCCCGCCTGCCCACCCGCCCCACTCTGTGCCTTGGAAATGCTTTGCCTCTGCTTTGTGCTGTTTGCTTTGCTCTCCACCTTCATAGCAGCAGTTACTCTGAGTTTTCCAAATCGAGGAGCATCTGTACCAAGGCAATGTACCTTTTGATTTTTGATCTATTTGTTTTAAGCTCTGTTGTCACCAATAAAATCTTAATAGTTCTTGCATTTGCACTGGGACTGGATAAACTGCAAGGGGGTAGCGGTTGGGGCTAGGGGTCACCTGAATGCATAGCAGGGATTGGAAAGGTGGGGTGTGGGAGTGGGGACCATTGCCACTCCTGTGAGCAGGTCCTGGTGGAGGCGGGGTGCGTGCAACGCTCACGTTCCTGGGCACCTTGGATGGTGGCCTCTACGACCCTGGGAGCTAGAGGCTGGCACTGGAGGACCCCTGCCCACCTGGCAGTGGACGGTGACGGAGCTACTTGCCCCCATCCCCAAGTGAGGAGAGCAAAGACAGGCGGAGGACCACGCAGTTTTTACTGTAGCCTCAGTCTCCCCTCCCTGCCCGTCTTCAGCGGCAGCCACATTCATCCACCACCATGTCCTCATAGTGCCGCAGGACCACATTGTCGCTATTGTCGAAAAAAAGCACGGAGATGGGCGACAGGCGCGCGGGAACGCAGCAAGGCAGGCCGGCGGCGCTCGGGGCAGCCGCGTGCATGAGGGCGCGCAGCACAGCGTGGTTGAGTGTGGGCGGCCCGTCGGGACCAGACAGCGCGGCAGGCAGCGTGCACTGGCCCTGGCAGTAGTTGGCCAGGAAACCACGTGGCGCGATGACCCAGCGGTGCCAACCCACCTCGCGGAAACTCACGTAGAGACGCCGCGCGCGACACGCACCCCCAGGGCCGCCGCCCCTCGCGGGCTCGGCCTCGCGCCGTGGCCGGCCCAGGGGGTGGCAAAGGCGCGGGTCGAGGGTCACCAGAAGCAGCGAAGCCTCGGCCAGGCCCGCGCAGGCGGCGGGTGTCCGGGAGCGCAGCGCCAGCGCCAGGCGGAGGCTGCGCGGCGCCGAGGCGTTGCGAGCCCACGTGGCGCCCAGCAGCTCGGCGCGCACCGGCCTCCCCAGGGCCGGCACCGCCTGGCGGAGCAGCTCCGACCGAGGACCCGCGCCCACGCGTGCCACGCCCAGTTCCCAACCTCCCGCCGGCCCCACTGTCTCCGCCACCGCCGCGAAGCGCAGCTCCAGGCGGGCGCTGCTCCAGCGCTCGACGGGGTCCACGGCCGACATGTCGAATTCAACGATCCACTCGGGGCACTGCCCCGTGGCCGAGGCGGGCTCGGGGGGCCGGGCAGCCGCACCTGGGGAGGCACGCACACATCCGCTCGCGCTGCGTCCCCGGGCGGGGTCCAGCCTGCCCGCAAAGGGGTCTCGGAGGCGGTGGTGTGGTGTGGGGCGGGGAGGAAAGAGCCTGAGGCTGTGGGGCGTGCCATCTGTTGGAGGCGTCGTCAAACGGTATGAAGTGGAGCGGGGGTGGGCGGGGGGCATTACTTGCGAGGAAGAGGCCCTTCCTGCCCAGTGCAGGGCAGCCGGCCAGTGGTTGAGGGCCCTGGCGGGGAAAGAGGTGAGCGAACCCTGGGCCCCTGGGGAAGCGATGCAGAGCCTGTCTGCAGGAAGGCCTCAAAAGGTGTGAAGCAGTGGGGGACCGGGGAGAAAAAGTGGGGGCAGGGCTCCGGCTGCAAGCAAGAGGCCCTGCGCGTGCAAGGAAGGCCGGCTTGGTTAGGACCACGCCGCCCGGTTCCCGCAGGTGTCCACGGGACGGAGCGGATGGAGTTGGAAGTCCCGGTTGTCCTTGAGCTGGTTGCGGCGGATGGGGACATTTGGGGCCGCTCCAGCCCTCCCAGCCACGCGGTGCTAGAGGCTGGTGGCGGGCCCCGAAGCGCCGGGTGGTCTGACTCCCGGCCCCACACCCCCCGCGCAGGCCCCACTCACCGCGGTCGGGGATGTGGCGCACAATGTTCCCGGCGACCCCCAGCTCCTCCACGTGGCATGGTCGCAGGGTGGCCCCCAGGGGCGTCCGCCGCGGGCCTGCCCTGGCCTCCTGGGGGTCCCGGCGGCGGAACAGGCGCCACATGATTGGGGGTACGGGCCGGGGCGTGGGGGCTCCCCGGGGAGCGTCGCTTAGCCCGAGAGCCTGCAACAGGGCGGTGGCGGGGCCCGGGGAATCGGGGGCTCGGGCCGGGGGCAACGAGGGCAGCAGCAGAGCCAGGAGGAGAAGGGCGCGGCAGCCAGCACGGTAGCGCGGCGTTGGCATCTTCCTCGCAGGCGGCGGCCGGACGAGCGTTCAGGGGCCGTCTGGCCCCGACCTGCAGGCTGGGGGCGGGACTAGGGTCCCTGGAGGGGCCAGGGCAAGGGCCTGGGGCAGGGCGGTGTCAGGGTCCTGGGGAGCGCGGCAGTGGTACTGAAGCCGGACAGGGGCTGATCCCAGAGGCGGGGTCTCCGGGGCAGGGGTAGGGGGTCCTGGGGGAGGTGGCCAGGGGTGGGGCGTGGCCGGGCCCCGGGGGTGGGGCTGGGTCCTTTGGGGACGCAACTGGGTGGGGGGCTTCAGAAGCGCTTATCCTTCACCAGGCCGTTCCTCAGCAGCTTCCTGGGGGCCAGAACCGGGCCCAGGTTAGCCTAGGAACCCCACGCCCAAGTTCCCCTGTCCCGCCCGCCTTGCCCCCCACATCTCTTTTCCCAGTTAGGTGTGGCCCCGCCTCCATCCCTCCTCCCTGCCCGCAAGGCCGAAGATCCTGCCTTCCGCTGGTCGGGCCCGTTTTCCCTGCTCCTCCCCACAATTCAGCCCTCCCGTCCCCTCCCCACTGGGCCACCGCGGCCGCTGGAGAGCTAGCTAAAGCCACCTACCAACCTCCGCCTGGCCTAACCCCACCGCCTGGACCTGGATAAACAGGCACTTTATCTTCCTGCCCTCCTAGGGGTGGCAGAACCGGCCAGACCCCCACCCCAGCACGCTGCCCAGGCAGGATCCTCCCCCGCTCACAGCCTAACCATGTGAGGCCTCCTGTCTACACCTGCTGCAGCTCTGACTTGCCTTCCATGTCCGTAAAACAAGTTACCCAACATGTTAAAACTCCCAAGAATTCGGTCAGTATCCAGCTTACAATCCAGCAAACAATGCATGGTTTGCGTATTTCAAACTATCTATAAAGGTGTTTTCTGCATCTCAGTTTTACAAAAATGGGGCTCTGATCACTCCCATGAGCACTACTGCTGCTCATAAATTCCGTTTTCCCTGTGAGTGGTGGGTCTCTGCCACCCCCCACACCGAGGGACCCTGTGTGCTGGGGGTCTGCCCAGGCCCAACAGACTAGACCTGACAAGGAAGGGTCTCTGCCCCAGCTCCTCACTGCCTTTGCCAACACTTGCTCCCAGTTGCATCTTGTTTAACCAGCTGGCCTGCTGGTGCTGAGGCCGCAGCTCACAGCTGCCTCACGGTCACAGCCACTGGCCACTCCTGTTCCCACTGACAGGGCTCTTCGTGCCTTCACATGGGGGCTGTTGGTCTTTTTGTAGAAGTGGATCCCCCAGTCTAGCCTGTGCATGAAGTTTGTTGGGCTGGTACTATATTCTCATATATAAAACAAGACACCTAAAAGCACAGAAGACTCCCAGTTGGCCTGAACCACACTCCTGGGGATCAAACCTGGTTCCTTGCTTCTGCACATCCTCACCCAGATACTAGCACGCCAGTGTGGCGGGGTCCCCTTCGTTCCTTTGTTTTGCAGGGCACTCTAGCTCAGAGACCCTTTTTTATAAGAATGTAAGGATTTTCTCAGAAAAGAGATGGTCTTGGTCATTTGGTTTCATCCCTTATACTCGGGCTAGGCCAGCACACGTCTCCTTCTGAGAGCGGCTCCTCCAGTCCTGCACCAGCTTCTCCACCAGCAGGAGCCCTTATCTGCGAGGTCACAGATAAGCCCTCGCGGACCTCCATCTACCCTCTGTCTTCTGGCTTTGCCTGTTGGTCTTTAAAACAGGGCAGAGGTGGGGGGTCCCTGCGACTCTCTTCCTCTCATCATGGATCAACTGCTGGATGACACCAGGCTCTCATTTCACATTTTAGTTCGATTTTCATGGCTTCCGCCCTGGGGCTGATTGGAGATAAAGACACAAGTCCCCTCTTCCCTCCAGACACTCTCGGCCCAGCGTCCCAGTGCATTCCCACAGGGCTTCTTCCCTCCTGGTGAACTTTATTCCTTGCTGGTCGAGTCTGTTCTATTCACAGACTCGGCTCTGTTCCCTCATTAATTCCTATCCTTTTGTAATAAGTCTAATACTTTCAGGGACCCCCCGCCAAGCTTTCCTGGTGATTCTGATTTGCTTTTCTGCACAAGTTTCCATGTGTCCCTCCTGCCTCAAACACAGCTCGCGCGCGCGCGTGTGTGTGTGTGTGTGTGTGTGTGTGAGGGAGACAAGGCAGGCAGCAACTCTAGTGGCTTCTGGATGTTTCCTAGTGGATAAGGAGAGGGAGAGAGCAGCGAGTCCCTAGCAAGAACCTGGCAAGTTTTCGCCCTAAGTTGCCATCGAGTGCAGTGGCAAAATGTTCCAGAGCAGAGCTGGTTTGGATAGGACTGGGGGCTAATTAGGGATATTTTAGAAGATGCTTGGATGACAAGCAGACCTGGAGACAGAGCATAGTGCTCAGAGGGGTATGGTGGGCTGGGAGAGAGATTTGGAAGCTGGTGGATTACGGGAAAGGGCCCTGGAGAGGGGAAGCTGGTGGCGGGGCCAGAGTCGGAGCAGGAAGGCACAGGGTTTGGGGCAGAGAGGGCGCCAAGCAGTGAGGAGCAGAGGCAGCCTGGCAGCTGGGACCGGGTGATTAGGCTGGGTGCAGGGCTTCTCCTGGGGGTGATGGAAATGCTCTAGAACTGTGGTGATGGTTGCACACGTGTGTGAATGTGCTGAACATACCGAATTTATACATGGTACATGGGTGGACTGTATAGGATGTGAATTCTCAAAGACTGTTATTAAAAAGGCAAGGGGAGGTGACCCCGGGTTTAGCACCAAGGCGGCCTCGGTGGAGCTGGACAGGAGTGGCCTTGGGGGCCACGGAAAACACTCCTGCATGGGGTGGGTCCAGGAATGGGGGGTCTTGCTGGCAGGGTGGAGAGAGGACTTCTCTTCTCAGTGGGAATATTCTCCAGCAGGCAAGAGGGTGGATATCCCTGGCTTGGGAAGGCGGCCTCAGGGACAATGGTGAGGGGAGCTGGTGGCCAAGAAGGGGGAGGCTAGGGGTGGCTGGTGCTCTGGCCCTGCGCAGGCGTGCGGGTGTCACTGAGGACCTCTGGGCACTGGCCAAGCAGCATGAGCCTGAGTGCGGGACACAGCAGGGGTGGAAGCAGCAAACTGTGTGTATCACCGGACAGTCGGGTAAAGGCCCCCAACCGATGGCGGTCCTGGTAGTCCCCGGGTGGGCAGAAGGGCCGCAAGTGGTGCCGGGTCATAACCAGGGCACGGGGCCACGGGAGGCTCTGGTCCAAGAGGGGGGTCTACCAGATGACCAGGGCCCCGTGCTGGGCATCAGAAGAGAGAAGCAGAAGTGGGGGCACAGGAATGAGGACAGGGTAGGGTGAGGGTGGGTGCATGCTACTTAACTGCCACGTGATTCGTGTCTTGGCCACTAAATCACATCAAAGTGCTTTCAATCATCATCATCTCACGTTTTCAAACCTAACTGAATTTTCGTCCACACAGCCTGCATGATCCCGCTTCTGAGCAGTTGAGGCTTGGTTTGGTCAACTGTGACAAATGATTTTGTGCTTAAAAGGAACATTCATTCCCCTGCTTGCGGAGGAGCGCAGAGCATGGGCTGCCTCCTGCGGTCCCGTCACACCGCGGTGTAGGGCTGCGTTGAGCACAGCAATTCTGGAACTGAATCTTTCCTGTCCTTTTACTTGCAACTTGTATGTACCCTGGAATTCAAGTTTTTGAACCAGTATAGAAGTGGATCTTAAAAACAAAAACCAAACACCAATCTCCTGTCAGACTATTCCCTGTATGTTTATTACAATGCCTAATACTTGAGATTCTATCCTCTTATTTTGAGTGACTTCCTGCCTTTTCCAACCTTCGTTTGGTTGCACTTTGCTGGGCTTGTTCCGTTTCCTGGCTCCCCAGCACACCCTAATGGTGTGGACATGTGTACGGCTGACCCTTGAACAACATGGGTTTGAACTAAGTGGGTTCACTTATATGCAGAATATTTTCCAATAAATATATTGGGAAATGGTTTGGAGGTGTGGGACAATTTGAAACAAAATTTTTCTTTCTCTTGCTTACTTTATGATAAGAATATGGTATACAACACATAGAAAGCAGGCAGCAACTCTAGTGGCTTCTGGATGTTTCCTAGTGGATAAGGAGAGGGAGAGAGCAGCGAGTCCCTAGCAAGAACCTGGCAAGTTTTCGCCCTAAGTTGCCATCGAGTGCAGTGGCAAAATGTTCCAGAGCAGAGCTGGTTTGGATAGGACTGGGGGCTAATTAGGGATATTTTAGAAGATGCTTGGATGACAAGCAGACCTGGAGACAGAGCATAGTGCTCAGAGGGGTATGGTGGGCTGGGAGAGAGATTTGGAAGCTGGTGGATTACGGGAAAGGGCCCTGGAGAGGGGAAGCTGGTGGCGGGGCCAGAGTCGGAGCAGGAAGGCACAGGGTTTGGGGCAGAGAGGGCGCCAAGCAGTGAGGAGCAGAGGCAGCCTGGCAGCTGGGACCGGGTGATTAGGCTGGGTGCAGGGCTTCTCCTGGGGGTGATGGAAATGCTCTAGAACTGTGGTGATGGTTGCACACGTGTGTGAATGTGCTGAACATACCGAATTTATACATGGTACATGGGTGGACTGTATAGGATGTGAATTCTCAAAGACTGTTATTAAAAAGGCAAGGGGAGGTGACCCCGGGTTTAGCACCAAGGCGGCCTCGGTGGAGCTGGACAGGAGTGGCCTTGGGGGCCACGGAAAACACTCCTGCATGGGGTGGGTCCAGGAATGGGGGGTCTTGCTGGCAGGGTGGAGAGAGGACTTCTCTTCTCAGTGGGAATATTCTCCAGCAGGCAAGAGGGTGGATATCCCTGGCTTGGGAAGGCGGCCTCAGGGACAATGGTGAGGGGAGCTGGTGGCCAAGAAGGGGGAGGCTAGGGGTGGCTGGTGCTCTGGCCCTGCGCAGGCGTGCGGGTGTCACTGAGGACCTCTGGGCACTGGCCAAGCAGCATGAGCCTGAGTGCGGGACACAGCAGGGGTGGAAGCAGCAAACTGTGTGTATCACCGGACAGTCGGGTAAAGGCCCCCAACCGATGGCGGTCCTGGTAGTCCCCGGGTGGGCAGAAGGGCCGCAAGTGGTGCCGGGTCATAACCAGGGCACGGGGCCACGGGAGGCTCTGGTCCAAGAGGGGGGTCTACCAGATGACCAGGGCCCCGTGCTGGGCATCAGAAGAGAGAAGCAGAAGTGGGGGCACAGGAATGAGGACAGGGTAGGGTGAGGGTGGGTGCATGCTACTTAACTGCCACGTGATTCGTGTCTTGGCCACTAAATCACATCAAAGTGCTTTCAATCATCATCATCTCACGTTTTCAAACCTAACTGAATTTTCGTCCACACAGCCTGCATGATCCCGCTTCTGAGCAGTTGAGGCTTGGTTTGGTCAACTGTGACAAATGATTTTGTGCTTAAAAGGAACATTCATTCCCCTGCTTGCGGAGGAGCGCAGAGCATGGGCTGCCTCCTGCGGTCCCGTCACACCGCGGTGTAGGGCTGCGTTGAGCAGAGCAATTCTGGAACTGAATCTTTCCTGTCCTTTTACTTGCAACTTGTATGTACCCTGGAATTCAAGTTTTTGAACCAGTATAGAAGTGGATCTTAAAAACAAAAACCAAACACCAATCTCCTGTCAGACTATTCCCTGTATGTTTATTACAATGCCTAATACTTGAGATTCTATCCTCTTATTTTGAGTGACTTCCTGCCTTTTCCAACCTTCGTTTGGTTGCACTTTGCTGGGCTTGTTCCGTTTCCTGGCTCCCCAGCACACCCTAATGGTGTGGACATGTGTACGGCTGACCCTTGAACAACATGGGTTTGAACTAAGCGGGTTCACTTATATGCAGAATATTTTCCAATAAATATATTGGGAAATGGTTTGGAGGTGTGGGACAATTTGAAACAAAATTTTTCTTTCTCTTGCTTACTTTATGATAAGAATATGGTATACAACACATAGAACACACAAAGTGCATGTTGATTGCCTGTTTGTATTCTCGGTTCTGGCCAATGGGAGGCTGTCTATAATTGAGATTTTAGGAGTCCAAAGCCGTATGTTGATTTTCAATTGTGGGGCGTTAGTGCCCCTAACCCCTGCATTGTTCAAGGGTCAACTGTGCTTAATACAGCCTAAAGGTAATCCTCAGCCTCTTGCAAAATGCAGAGCCCCGAATCCTGTTTCAATAATATTTAATACTCCAGTTCTAATTTTTCTCTCTCAGATTTGCAAGTTTAACCCAGACATGTGTCAATTTCTCTCCCCATCTGCTTCTTAGCATAGCTTTCCTGTTTTCTGAAATACACCAGTAGAAAAAATCTGTGGATGGTAAACTTTCTTCGTTTGCATTCCTGTAGGTGTCCTGTCTCTTGAGTAATTATTTTTAAAATCGCATATGAAGTTCCCGCAGCTTGTCACTGCCTTTCAGCAGTTGGTAGTTTACTCCACAGTTGCCTAGATTCCCTTTGTGGCTATTAATCTGTCATTGTTTCATGGGTCCTTTTCTGCAGCTGTTTTGCATTTTCACTATGATGTATTCGGGACATAGATCCTTTTTTATTCATCCTGCTTATGATGTATGTCTTCTTACTTTCTGGAAAACTCATGGTGTTACATCTTCTCAGATCGTCTCTCCCTGTGTCCTATTAGAACTCAAGTAGACCAGGTAATTCTTAGACTCCTACCTGTCATGTTTTCTGTCTGCTTCTGCTACATTCTGGGTCACTGTTTCACAGTGCTCAATTTGCAGATTCTCTCTTCAGCTGTGTCTAATCGTTTGAGCCTTAACATCACTAGTAGGCTGAATGGTGATCCCCAAAAAGACATGTCCACATCTCAATCTCTGGAACCTGTGAAGGCGGCTTTATTTGGAAAAAGTGTCTTTGCAGATGTCATTAAGTGAAGGAACTGGTGATGAGATCACACCAGACTTAGGGCAATCCTAAATCCAATGACAAGTGTCCTTATGTGAGAGAAGAACCAGAGACAAGGGAAGGCCATGTGAAGACAGAGGCAGAGATCGGAGTGATGCAGCCATGAGCCAAGGATGCCTGTAGCGCCCAGATGCTGGGTGAGACAAGGATGGTTCCTTCAGAGGGAGCCTGGCCCTACAGACACCTGGATGTCAGACTTCTGGCCTCCAGAATAGTGAGAGAACAATTTCCTGCTGTTTTAAGCCCCCAGTTTTCAGTACTTTACATCAGCAGCCCTAAGAAAGTAATGTAATATCCAGTGGTGGTTTTGACAGTCTCTCATGCCTTCTATCTTTCTAATAAAGTTTTTAGCTTAGAATAATTTTAGATTTGCAGAAATTTTGCAAAGACAGTACAGTAAACTCTGCGCACCCCTTACACAGCTTCCCCGAATGTTGCAACTAAGAAACCAATCCTGGGACCTTGCAGTGAGCTAAATCACAGACTTTATGTGGCTTTCACCAGTTTCTCCACAGATGTTCTTTTTCTGGTCCAGGACTCCACATTGCATTTGGTCATCTTACTCTTTGCTGATTTTCAGTCTCATTTTCCACCACCTGATGGTTTTGAGGTCTCCTGACCAAATCTTTTTTGCAGGAAATCCTGCATTCTTACTGCCTTTTAGCCCTTCCCATTTTATACCCAACCACACTAACTTGCCATCCTTGAGGAACAGAGTTTGGCTGGTGGTGCTGACGGGGTCGACTGATAGTGTATCCCCTGGTACACCCTGTCATTTCTGTCCAGAGCTCATGCTCCGCCATCCTGGTGGGTGCCAGCGCCCTAACTCACATTCTGACCAGATATTCTCAGGGGAGACAGCACGGAGCAGCCCCAGGTAGGGTTAGGGGGTCTGGCTGAGCTACTCCTTGCCTTGGGCTCTTCATTTACAGGACATCTCCATCAGGAGTTATCTTTCTGAAGTTTAGATTTGGCTAAGCAAGTGCCTCCCCTCCCTGACCCCTGAGGTTTTAGCTTTTTAGTCTTTAGCCATCCCTTCTTTCTGGAAGCCTCTGAGGTTGGTCAGACCCCTTGGTGAGACCTCACTGATCTCTCCACGGAATTCCTGGTTTGCTCCTTGGAAATCGACCATCTAATATCCCCACAACTTGGCTCCCAGTCCCACCTCTGCTGGCGCACAAGGCCCTGCCCCAGCTCTGCCCTGACTCCCATCTAAGTACTTGGCAACTCAAGCCAGAAGTCTTAGATCACCTTTGTTTCTTTTATTTCTGGTTCACCTACATCGAAAGCAAGTTTGGTTGCTTCTATAACAGAGTAAGGATCTGACCACATTCCTCTTCCCAGCTGCAGCCAGTGTGCCCGTGTGCCCCAGTGGCAGCGATGGCCTCCTGGTGGTCGGCTGGCACCAAGGCTGACATGCCCACAAGCGATCCAACTGGGGCGACCTCACCTGCTATTACCCAGCCTTCTCGTGTCTGTGATCCCTGCTCACGTGTCTGATCCTTCTCTACTCTGGGAGCTTTTATTTTGGCCTCAGCACACCCCACCTGAAGTCCCAGGCTCGGCACGTGCCGAGTGCTTGCATGTATTGGAACCAGCCGTAAGAGCGCTCCCTTGATCCCACTCTCCACTCCGGCAGCCTTCCCGTCCTGCGCTCCCCTACTCAGGTCTCTCAAGGAGAATTTAAACAGCTCTGCCTCTCTCATCCTCCTCGCTGTCCATCCTGACGGCTTCATCGAGTTCTGAGTCCACTGCTTCCCCAGAACCACTTTCCCGGGCTGGCCGCTGATGATCCCCCAGAGGCCAAGTCAGAAGGCCCTTCAGCCACGTCCGGCCTCACTGCTGCTCCAATGCTCCTCATGTTGCCCCTGGGCACCGTCCACCCCAGGCCCTCCTGGGCACCCAAACCTGTCTCCATTCACTCCTGAGGGCCCCCCACCCCAGGCCAAGGGCTTTGAGTGCCACCTGGCTCACATCCTGGGGCTGGTGAGTCATGGGGAGCCCACCTCCAGGTTGCTCAATGAGGCCCCTTCTCTCCTTCCCTGGGATTCCGACCTGGGCTGCCCTGGGTCTGAGCCTCCAGCCCTACCTCCAGCTTGGCTGGGCCTCCAGGCCAGGGGTGTCAGCTGGAGTAGAGGCTCTCTGGGCTGCTGCCACCTGCTTACAGGTGCTTAGAGGTGACCATCTGGCTTGGCCACCAGCTGCTCTTCACCAGCCACAGGGCCCTCCTTCACTTGCCCACATGGGGCATGCCAGCTATTTGGCCCTCACAGTTCCTGCCACCAAGCCCCTGATACTCTGCCCAACCCCAGACCTCTACCCACTGGTTTGCTGTCTGTCTTTACATTGTCTAACTCTGCCACTACACCATCCACGCCTTCACTGCGGTCTCTGTCTTGGACATAGGCTCTAGGGTGGGGCCTCCACAATGGCGCCACCTGCTAGTGTCTCCAGAGCCCGCCCACGGAGTGCGCTCAGAGGGGCCGAGGCGGCAGAAAGGGCAAAGCAGGGGCAACTGGCGGCCCCTGGACACTCACTCAGCTTTGCTGGGCTTGCGGCTCGGGACCTCTGCCACGTCGAATTCCCGCACATCTTTCAGCTCCCGCACCTGGCCGGTCAGCACCTTGACGGCAAACGCCATGATGTACTGTGGGAGGGGGAAGGTACAGTTGTGAAAGAGCCCCTTCCCCAACTGCACTACCCTCCTAATGGCTTTGCGCTCCTGCCACAAGCCCTTTGCGAATGCTGTTCCCTCCCTGGGCATGCCTGAGAAGGCCCTGTGCCTGGACCACAGCCAGGTGAGGACGAGTCGGTGGGCAGGGTGTTCTGGGCAGCCAACTCACCAGGAACCAGTAGAGGTTCATGAGGGTGAGCAACAGAAGGAGGGCGTTGAAGAAGAAGTAGAAGGGGATATCGGGCACAGAGCGCAGGCTGCAGTGGCACGTGGCATACAAGACCTTGAGCGGGAACCAGTAGAGGCGGAACCAGAACCTGCAGGGGGCGTGGTGGGTTGGGTGGGCTGTGGGGAAAAGCAGGAGGGTGGCCCCACCGGGCCCCTGTCCTCTACCACCAGGGTTCATCTATCTGTCGCTGTACATCCCCGCCCACCCCTGTCCGGCGAGCCACTCCTGCCCTATCTTCCCTGCCCAACCCCACTTCCACACCCAGGCACTGCCCTGCCCCCCCACCGCAGGAGTCACTTCCTGTCTTTGCCCCGCCCCTTCCCCCACTGGGCCCACCCCCTTTGGTCCGCCCCCGCCTGCGCACCAGCGCCCTTCGTCCCCCGCCCCTCACCAGCTGAGGCTGAAGCTGAGGCAGCCCAGGTCTGCAGCCAGGGCGTGCAGCCGGTGGTGGGCGCCACTGCAGGACTTGAAGTAGACATTGAGCTTGGTGAACTCCAACTGCACGTCACAGATGTCATGCAGGAAGAGCACGAGGATGCCCACGTTGTGGTACCTGGGGCGGGGAAGCGTGGTAGGCGAAGACAGAGGGCGGGGTACACGGGGACCCTACCCTGCACTAAGGCTCCAGAGCACAGCCCCCTGGCCACACCTCCAGGCTTCCCACGGGCCCCTTCAAAGCCTTCCTGGCCCACCGGCCATGCTCACCGCCACCCACAGGGTCAGGTCAGTGGCAACACTCAGGCTGTACGTGCCCCTGGGAGCCCCACCTGGGCCCTCACCCTCCCCGTCTCACTCCCCCCTGGAGCCCCCCTGAAAGTTCCTCGTCAAGTCTCTCATCTCTCTGACCTCTGACCCACTACTACCCCTGACCCCACAGGCCTGGGCCATTCTGTGTCCAGATCCACCACAAGTTCGACCCTCACTTTGAATGTCATGGCCACCCTGACACTCTCAGGTTTATGCACTTAACCTGACCACCACTGCAAGCTGCAGGCTTGTCCAGGAAAGGCTGAGTCCCCACTAGGCTGAAGGCCTCCCAGCGCTCCACCTAACAGCAGCTTGGGCCGGAGACTGCATTCAGCCCGGATGTGGCTGTGGGCTCCTCGCTTCTCTTGCGTGTGTCCGTCCCCACACTACCCCCCTGACAGCTCAGGGGGTCCTGCTTCAGGCGCCATGCACGTGCTGTTCCCACTGCCTGAAGCGCGCCTTCCCGGCGTCCCCGGGCCCTCCTGCACCTCCTGTCAGTCTTTGCTGCCCTGTCACCGCAGACCACCCCAGCCAAAATCACCACCCCTGTAATCCTCTTCTGACTTGGTTTTCCTCCATCCTTGTAACCTTCAAACAAAGGTTAGTTTCTTCCCCCTCCTTCTCTTTCATTCCTTCCTCTCCCCCTTCTTTCTTTCTGTCGTGCTCTCTCTTTCTTTCTTTCTTTTTGGCTTTATCATCTGATTCCATCCTCTAGAGCAGTGCTAAGAATTTTCTAGAATGATAGGAAGGTTCTAAACCTGCATTGTCCCACACGGGAGCCACCAGCCACATGTGGCCTCCGAGCAGCTGAAATGTGGCTAGTGTGGCTGAAGAATAGAAGGCGTAATTTTATTTAGGTTGAATTAAAGTTGAAATAGCCACCTGCAGCCAGTGGTTACTGTACCCAAAGGTACAGCTACAGCAACTGGTCTAAGGAATAGAACATGAGCCGTATGTGTCATTTTAGGTCTTCTAACAGCCACGTTAATAAAAAAAAGAGAGAAAAAAGGAAAATGCTATATTCTGACCAACTCAGTAAACCCCAAATACTGTCATCTCAACATGCAGTTGATACAACAAAAGGATTTGTGAGGTATTTTCATCCTCCTTGGCCTTTGAAGTCAGTGTGGATTTTATGCACACATGTGGCGGTATAGACAGAGTCCATCTGAAGTACTCGGTGGCCACATGTGGCAGCCCATGGGCTTCAGGGCGCCAGGGTCTGCTGTGCTGATGGCTGCGTCCGCAGCGGCACCTGGGAAAGCGTGCTGTCTGGGCAGGGTCGCGGGGATGGGTGGGGGCAGGAGGGGCTCTGCACGCCTCACCCACCTCTTCAGAACCCACCCCCAGGACCTCCTCGCCCAAAGGCATTAGCTTCGCTCTGTGCCAGCCTCCTCCCTTTGCTCGTGCTATGCCTTCTGCCCTCCTGTCCCCTTCTGTACTCACCGGAAGGCGTAGGACAAGACGATGAGGACCAGGGTGACCACATGGTGGACAAGCATGACCACCGAGTCCTTGCGCCAGGCATCCATGTACAGCGTGGCATAGATGGAATGGCCATAGAAGCTTCCGTGCAGCAGGTAGGCGGCTGCGATGTCCCGTGGCACTGCCATGCCTGGCGTCCAGTCTGGGGGGAGCCAGATGGCGCCATCAGGAACCCACAGAGCCTCCGGGACCACTGGGGCCCCCGGGACATCTCACGTGCCTCTTCCAGCTGGGCATGCAAGCTCCACATGCCAGCCATGGCACCCATCTCTGCAGGTATAATGGATGCTGGTTTTCCAGCCCCCAGTGTTCTATCCAGTATTTTTGACAAATAGGTATGTTAATTTTAGAACAGTTCTGTGTTTACTGAAAAAGGCGCTCCTACCCCTGAAGGTCCCTTGCAGGGTTTCCAAGTTTGCCCCGGGTCCCCTTCCCTTCTGCTCTCACCAGCCAGGCCCTCTTGAGCCATCTCAGATGCTTTGTCCTGGGCTCCCCACTCCCAGCAAATCGACAACCAGATGTGGGTTGCTGCCCGCCTCACTGTGCCCAGCAGCCAAGGCAGAAACCAGACCTGCCCGTAGCGCTGAGTGGGCTGTCCCACCGAGCGGGCCCTGGCTCTCCTTCTCCTCCTGCAGCCACCCCTGTTGCCCCTGGCACTTGTGCCCGTCCACATTCAGGCCTGGTGCCTCCCGGGTGAATCTGACCCCCCCAGCTGTCCCCCCTCCGCCTCCTCTCCTCTGCCCATCACCAAGAGCTCTGCCTATGTTGGCCTGGAACTCTCTGGATTGCTTCTTCCCTGCCCATCCCCCAAAACAGCCTCCCAAGGCTCCATGCCAGGCCTCCTGACACCCCACCCCTGCTGCCTCGGTGACCTGGGGTCAGACCTTCACATGCCCCTGGAGCCCAGCTGTCCACTAGACGCATCTGGTGCGCCTACCTCAGCGACACCCTTCACCTGTGCTCTGACCCCTCCTGCAACCAGGATCCACTGGACCCACCAAGTGGGGGCCCCTCTTCTGTCCACACCTCTGCTCACTTCCCCTGCCCCTGCTGCCCCTGCCCTGGTCCAGGCACTGCCATCTCCTGCCCTAGTGCTGCCCCAGCCACTCCTGGGCCCTGGATCCTGTTTCTGACTGTCCACCCTCTCCTTGGTGGCCTCAGTGGCTGGGGACACACAAACCCCATGATCCAGCAATTCCACTCTTCATCATGTGCCCAAGGGGACTGGATACAGGATTCAGACAGGGACTTGTCACAGTGGTCACAGTGGAGACAACCCAAGTGTCACCAACAGGTGAATGAATGAACAAATTGTGGCCCATTCACACAGTGAAATATTACTCAGCCATTAAAAGGAACAAAGCTTTGATTGACGCGACAAGGTGGATGAACCTCAAAACCGTCACCTGAGTGAGAGAAGCCAGATGCAAAAGGCCACATGGTGTGTTATTCTGTTTATATGAAACATCCAGAACTGGCACCTCCGGAGAGACAGAAGCAGATCAGTGGATACCGGGCCGGGGGAGGGGAGTGACTGCTTCTGGGGACGGGGTCTCCTTTAGGGTGATGGGAATGTTCTGCAACTAGGTAGTGATGCTGCTTGCACAACACTGAATGCACTGAATGCCACTGAATTGTTCACTTTAAAATGCCGAATTTTTAAAAACGATGGCAAAACACATATAACATACACTTTACCATCTTAACCACTTTCGGGTTCAGCGGCGTTAGTGCACCCGACCTCCAGATCGGTTGTCATCTTGTAAAACTGAAACTGTCCCCGTAAACACTAATTCCTCATCCCCTGCCCCGACCCCACCGCCCACATCATTTACTTCCTGTCTATGAATCTGACTCCTGAGAACCTCACAGAAGTGGAATCACATAGTATTTGTCTTTTTGTGACTGGCTAAAATAGTTAATTTTATGTTATGTAAATTTCAACTAATTAAAAAAAAGCAAAACACACACAGATCAGGGCTCACCTCCCCCACCGCCACTCACTTTAACAGGCCGGGAGCTTCCCAAAGTTAGATGGGAAACCCACACTCCCGGCCACCCGCCAACAGTTCCATCCTCAGCCATGTGGGTGGAGGGCCCCCCAACACGGACACCTGCCAGGTACCTCTGCCCCCTTTTATAAAGAAGGGACGCAGAGATGCCTTGATGCAGAGCCCACCGTGGGAACAGGACACCACATTTTCCCCTTACCGCCCAGGCAAGACTTAAACCAGCCAAGTGTCCCTGCCCCAGCCCTGAGGCCCAGATCTGGATGAGGGACAGGTGGGTTTTTGCAGATGTCGCACCTTCCTGCACGCTGGGGGATCGGGCGCCGCATTCACACTCCCCGGTGCTGTGGACATCCCATGTCATCTCTGCTACGTCCCCCGCCTTGACCTCTAGTTTCAGCCTCCTGGGGGTCCCAGACCCAGCTCCTGCTCTCCCCCAAACCTGTCCCACCCAGACCCACCAGACCATGACAAAGACCCCACCCTCGCCCTCCCTCACACCCACCTATGGCTTGGCAGCGAATCTTATCCATTCTGAATTCAAAACATTTCTCAAATTGGCCATGCCTCTGCCCAGTGGGGACCATCCTGACCAGACCCCCTCCTGCCCTGGCTCCCGCCCTCAGCGCCCTCCTTGGCTCTGCTGGTCTCTGTCCCGCCCTGCGCACGGCCCGCCGATAAACGTCTCCACTGCTTGCCAGCCCTCCTCACCTCCTGGCCGGGCTGGGGAGCTCCTCACTGCCGCTGACCCCCAGGAACATGTCCTTCCGACACTGGCCTTCGCATTTCCTATCTGTCACCTTTGGTGGGGTCATTCCCATCCCTTTAGAAAATTCCTAACCTTTCTCTCTTCCCAGACACCCCATCTCCCTCTCCTCTTCCCACTTGTTTTCTCAGCAGCTGTTAACAGATTTTGTATTTCACTGTCGCTATAAGACGTGCGGGCAGGAGGCTTTCTCTGACCTGCTCACAGCTATGTTAGCACAGCGCCTGGCACACGGGGGTGCTCGACAAATGTGTGTGCAAGGAGCAGCTAACCTGCAGGCTCATGATCACAGCATAATTTATAAGCCGCAGCCAGAGGCAAGTCTATGCCTTAGACTTTGTGAGAACTCGATTATGTGGTTCATTCACATAAAGGAAAATTGGACAACAGTGGAAACCTCCCCTAGGGAGTTAGGTGAGCTGGGGAAATGTGCATGGTGCAAGTGGCCCTGTAGGCAGCATGGGCTCACAAAGACTGCCAGGTGCCCAGGAAGCCCAGTGCCTGACCAGGATTCCCCTCAGGCTATCCATGACACATCAGGAAACAGATCCACGTGCGTCCCTGGGACATGGCCTGGGTGGTCAGCACGGTGATAAAGTCCTGGTCCCCATTGCAAACCAAGTTTTCTATCCTGGCTTGCCTGTTGGTAACACAGGGCACTGCAATTACCTGCCTGCCCATCCCACCCAGAGCTCATGCTTGATGACCTTCACTCTAACCCAGTCAGTGGGTGCAGCCACTTCCTTGTCAGGCTGGTCCAAGCCACATGGGTCCCTTGCCTTCCTGCTAGGCCCTGCTTCTCTCCTCATCCAACACTCTGCTGTCTCCACATAGCAGCCAGAGGAAGTTTTTTGTAATTCACAAACTCATTCATTTCATAGAATGAAACTCAAAACTCCTGCTACCTTCCTCTCACCCTCACACAAGCAGCTCGTGGATGCCCCCAGGGCCTTTGCACGGGTTATTCCTGACACCTAGAATGCCCACCTGGGCCTGCACAAGGGCTCACCTCTTCCAGAACATCTCGCTGAGACCTAATAGGGCCAGGCGCCCCCTTTCCTGCCCCCAAGGCTCTTTGGTTGCTCTTGTTGGGGCAGACATCCATGATGGGATGTCTGGTGAGTATCTGGCTCCTCCATGTATCCCTCATGTTTAGAGCAGAGCCCTCCCCGACCCTGCCCTATCCAGGTGAGGCCCCTACCGTAGAAGACAGATGGCGGGTCATGAAAGAAGGGGTAGTTGGTGCCAAAGAGCAGGTAGGTGCTGTAGCTCCAGGAGCTCAGGTAGAAGAAAAACTTCCAGGCACTCTCAGGCATCTTGGCAGCATCTCTAGGCTGGAGGCGGTACCGCTTGGCCAGGGGCTACAGGTGAGAAGTTGGGTAGCCGTCAGCACTGGGGGCCAGCAGCTGCCCCTCCAGGGTGGGGAAACCAAGGCCCAGGGACTCTCTGGGCCGGGCAGTGTTGGGGAGGGTCAGGACCCAGTACCCACAGCCACCTGGAGTGTAACCAGAGCCCATGTGTGCCTGCCAAGGGAAAAACTTTGTGCCCAGCTGTCTAGTGGCAGGCGGCATGGGCAGGGGAGAGAGGGGAAGATGAAGGAAGGCTGTGAGAAGGGAGATCGATGGGATCGCCCCAGGAGAGCTGGGGGTTTGTGGTCATGGGGCTGGGGTGTGACAGGGAGGAGGGGGTGTGGGGGTGAGCCTGTGAAGTGAATGGGGGAAGGGAATATGGGGGCATCAGAGAGAATGCAGTTGGGGGGGCTGGAATCCCAAGTGACTCCCATGGAGATAATCTTGAGGGGAAGGGGAGCTTTGGAGGAATCTGGGGGAGACCAGAGAGAAATAGGAAGCTGGGGAAGATGGGGTGGGCAAGTGGGGGAAGACAGGAATGAGGGGGACAAAGGAGAGAATGGGGCCTGGGGGGAAAAAAAGGGATGGGCAGGGAAAGGGACTGGGGGACAGCTGAGGACCTGAGCCGAGGGGCCCTGAGGAGACATTAGTGGCGCCTGCGGGAACAGGGAGCACGCAAGGGGGGAGGCACTGAATCTGAGAGGCTGCGGGGACCCCCAGGGGCGGGCCCTCAAGCTTCTTGGGGGCGGGACTCTGTAGCTGCCGAGCCAAACTCCGCCCCCACAGAGGCTGAGGGGGCCTGAGCTCCAACAGTTGCTATGGAGACAGCCAGAGCCAGCTCCAGTAACCCCTGGCAACCGGGCAGCTGCCAAGAAGATGAGCTTTGGGGGACCGGGCTGCCCCTCCGCCCGTTTCTCGGGAAGGGAGAGCCTGGAATGGGGACGAAGGCCCCACCCACGCTGGCCCGACCTCCGGGGATTCCAAAAGTGAGGGACACATGACCCTGCTGTGCCCCATCTGGCTCCCTCAGGCACCTGGGGAGGGGGCCCGCGCCGCACCCTGGTAGTCCCAGTGGGCGACCGCATCCTTCCGCGGGTTCTGGCCCTCGCCCTCCTGGGCCTTCCACTTCCCAGCTGCAGGGGGTAAAAAGCCAGACTGGGGCCAAGGCCGACCTGTGTAGGGGCCACGGAGCAAGGTGGCGGCCCAAGGGCACGATGACGGGATGGTGGTGGGGACAGAGACAGCCAGACAACACCCCATCCCCGCCTAACAAGGGCCAGCCTCTTCCGGGCCGGCAGAGAAAGGCCCCTTTGTTGGCGCCGGGCGCTCAGTCCCTGCACCCCCTGTCACCTCCGGACAGACCCGGGCGGGGTGACTCCGGGCGGTCCAGCCCAGCTGGTCCCACCAACGCCCGCAGCAGCGACCCCTCTCCAACAGCGGGAGGGGGTGGCAGGCGCCAATGTCACCCCCACAGTCACCCCCCAGGCTCCCTGGAAACCAAGGAAGTCAGCAGCAGCCCCTTGGAGGCAGCAGAGCCCAGTTCCGAAGACCTACACCAGCCACCTCCCCAAGACCGCGACCACCGGCCCTTCCCGCGGGGAGCCCAGGGCTTTGCGTGCCCCGGTCGGAGGGTGGCGCTGGCTCGAGACAGGCGCGAATCCGCGACCGGGCAGCTCCCTGCCTCTTTCCGGTAGCAGCGGACAAGCCGGCTCCGCCGCCGCACAGACCCCGGACCCCGCTCCGGTTTCCAGCGCGCCCGGCTTGACCGGAACAGCAAGGCGCGCAGCCCGGAGCCCCCTCGTCCTGCACGGACTTGAATGGGTCGGCTCCGGTTTCCCCACATCTCGAACATCCCACCCGTGTGGGGCTGTCCACGTCCCGGGCTACCCCCAGCCTGGCCACACCCCCGCATCCTCCCCACCCCCCACCCCGCACTGACCGAAAGGGGTGCACGGCGGCCCAGGATCCCGCGTCTCGAGCTCCACCAGCCTGAGGCCCCCCACGTCCCAGTGACCCGGCCCGCGTGGACAGAAAGGGGCACGCGAGGGCCCGGGATCCCCTGTCCCGGGGTCCCTTAACATCCCGGACCCACAGTCCTGATCCCCACGTCCCAGACCCCCGCAGCACTGACCCGAAAAAGGCGCGCGGTGGCCGCCGAGCGCAGCGCAGTCCAGCCGAGCGCGCCGAGCGCCAGCAGCAGCAGCTCGGGCGGCGCCAGGTGCGCGTGTTCCGCCAGGCCGCGGCGCGCCAGCCCCCAGCCGCAGTCCGCGCAGCCCCGCGCCGCCGCCAGCGCGCTGCCCCAGCCGCGCTGCACCAGCTGCGTGTAACTCGGCATGGGCTCGGGTCCCGCCGACCCCGCCAACCCCGCCGCCGCCATGCCTCCGGTCGCCTGGAGTCCCTGCCGCTTGCGCCTGCTCGCGGTGGCCGCCAGAGCCGCGCGCCTGGCGTCACGCGCCGCAGCTGGGCCGGGGGCGCGCCGGCCGGAGAGCTGGGGGCAGAGGGGCGGGGCCGGCGCGAGTCCCGCCCCTGCGGGGGCGCGGGCGGCGAGGACACGGCGTCCCGGACCCTGGGGGCTCGCGGGGGCTAGGTCCCCTGCAGTCAGCGGCAGCGACCATACGCTACGTCCCTGCATTGTCGCGCCGCATCGTGGAGGAGGGCCTGCTTTAGGGCCCATTTTTCCAGCGGAAGAAAACCGGGGTGAGGGGTGAAGTCTGCCCTGAACCTTGTGGTCTGTATCAGATATGGAACAACCCCACCCCATCCCGTCCCCACCCGCCCAGAGCGCCGGTGCCCACCCTGGGCTCCCCTACCCCAAGCTGTGTCCGAGATGTACGGCACAGTGGACACGGTGGGCACCAACAGGCAGGGACGTCCACTGGTCTATCCCTGGCTCTCCAGCATGCCTCTCCCGCCCTGTCCTGCTCTGGGACCTCACCATTCCCCAGCCCGAGGGCCACCTGCTGCTCTGAAGAGGCGTGCAGAGAGCCGAGGGAACACTCAACGTGGGGAGACTCAGAGGCTGGATCAAGACCGGGGATCCACAGGGACCTCAGGGTGATGGATCTTCCACCATCCATCCACCCGGCCGGGTCCCCCAATGGCTAACCCTGGGAGCACCAGTCATCTGTTGGGGACATCACCTCACCCGGCACTGACAGCAGCCCATCTCAGCCCCCAGGACTCTGGCACACCTGTGCCCCTCCTTCCCTCCTACTTAGCACGTCACCCCAAAGCTGCTGAGGTGCAGAATGCAGGAATCAGTGTGGGCCCTGCAGGAGCAGGGCTGGGTCGCACAGGGCCACCAGCTTGACCCGATGTTCAGGTGCAGAGGTGAAAACAGGCGGGCCCAAGGGGGCTCTTACCCTCTCCTTCCCCTCACCTCTCATCCGGTTGGCCCCAACCCATCCACTTCTCTGCACCTGCACAGCCTTGGGCAGCCCTGGGCCACTCATGTCAGCCTGCCTGGCATTCTGTCCCCCTGACACCCCCCCACCACCCATCCCTCCTCTGCTCACAGCCCTCCATGGCTCCCAACAAAGAGCCCAACTCCTTTCTGTGACTCAAACTGCCCACACATCCTCCTCTGTCCACCTTGCACTCTGTTCCAGCCGCACTGGCCACTTAGCTGTTCCTCCAACACCCCAGACACCGTCTTGCCTCGGGGCCTTTGCACTGGCTGTTGCCACTGCCTAGAATGTTGCTCCCCAAGACACTAGCAGGGATCCCCTCTCACCTTCAAACTTCTAGGAACATCACCTACTTGGTGCACCGTGACCCCTCCATCACTCTTCGCCTCGGCCCTTCCCACCATCTGCCCGGCGCACCTCCTACTCACTATTCCTGAGCGTGAGCTCTGTGTGGGCGGCGAGTGGTTCACCAGGCATATCAGCTGGATGCAACAGGCCCAGCACATGGGGGACGTAACGCCCGCCTGGACTGATCAAGCATTAAGGCTCAGCCAGAGGCCAGAGACATGACTGATGCCATGGCCAGCCGAGCATGCAGAGGGGGCTTGGTAGTCCCAGGTGGGCTAGTGCCCCCATAGGTCCAGCTGAGCCTTTGGAGCAGCCTTGGACCCTCCCAACCCCCCCCCCCCAGGGCTATCTGGTCACCATAGCACCCATCAGTAATGGGAGAGGCGCCCCCATCCCCCACCCCCCAGCCTGTTCTGCCTCTAGTTTCACTCTGGCAGGTCCAGCTGGGAGGTGGCCAGCTGGTGGGTGCAGGGCAGGAGTGGAAAGCAGCTCTTGGTTCTGGCAGCTGGGGCCCAGGGGCCCAGTGAGGGGCTACTGAGGTCCCGAAGTTGGTGCTGGTTCCCTGCCCCACTGGGGAGGACAGGCCTCCCCTCCCCTGGGGAGTTCATCCCAGGGCCTCCCGTTCCCCACCTGCCCCCGCCCCCCGACTGATGCCCCTGGGAGGCCTTCTCTGCCACCTCTCCCTATGCTGAGCTCCCCAACTGGGCATGGCGGGGCGAGGGCGGACTCTGCCGCTGGGAGTCCCTTGCTTTGTGTCCTGTTCTGCTAACCAGGGACCCAGTTTCAGGCAGCCACCTCAGAGCCACATGAGGCCAAGTGCTGGGAACCCAGGTCTTATCTCCTCCCTGGGAGAACCCCAAGCACTGGCCTAGGGATAAAGGGCACACAGCCCTATCCACTGCACTGAGCCCAGAGTGGCCTCAGGGCCTTTGCATGCTCATCCTCCCAGAACCTACCCTGGCAGCTTCCTCTGATTGGTGGCTACAGCTCCACGGTGACCTCATCTGAGAAGCCCAGCCAACCCACCCCTGCCTGCCCACCTCCCTGTCCTACGGCTGCCTCTTATGGAAGGTGCCCACTGTGAGTTTCTCTCCCTGGGCTGGGGGCTCAGTGCCTCTGCCACTGTGGCATTCCTGCACCCATGGCCCCAACTACAACAGGTCTGTTTTGGTGAATGATTCAACAGAGCAAGAAGCAGAGGACTGGTGGGGTGGTTCAATTCCCTGCACACCCCCTCCCCACTTGGCCCAACTCACGCCTGAGCACTTCCCACCTCCCTCACCACCTACAAAACCTGGGGTCCTGGGTTTGAGTCCTGGTGCCCTTCCTGAGGGTTGTGACCGCTCACTCCTAGATACCACCTGGGCTTGGGGGAGTCTGCACAGCTGCTGCTCACACAACCTGGTCTCCAGCACCTCCCTTCCAGAACAGTCCTGGGAAATGGTGTCTGGGACCCTCCTGTCTGAGCCTTGGTTCCCACCTCCCAAAGTGGCCTGAGCAAACACGGGTCAGACAGGGATCCTGGGAGTGGAGACATTTATTGACAGGAGGGCTGGGCTCTGCCTCCGGGCAGAGGAACAAAGGGGGTGCCCAGCAGGAAGGCAGCACGGGTGGCTGAGGAGTCTGGGCCAGCCTCAGGCGCTGGGCGCGTACTGCAGCACCAGCCGGTCAAAGTCGTTTTCCTTCAACGCAGATGGGGTGGGGGCAGAGACAAGGGAGAACGTGAGCCAGGCCCAATCCCAGGCCTTCGCTGGCGCAGCCTGGGGTTCTGGGGCTTGGGGACGGGCTGCCCACACAGGCTCACCTTGGCTTGGTATTCCATGATGAAAGGGTGGGACCTGTGTGAATCCTTCAGCTGGGACAGGTAGCGGTTTGTCACCTGTGGGGGAGGCGAGGCCAGATTAGCTAAATGGGGTACCCCTTGGTGGCTCTGACCCACGTGCAGGGGGAGGGCTAGGGCAGGGTCTGCCTGGCTGACTCCAGGCGGGAGGCCTGGGGTCCCCATATTCCCTCTATCACCCCATCCTGGAATCAGGCTGATGACAGAAGGCCCCCAGGGTTGGGGGCACAGCACCTGGAACAGAGCCTGCACTCCACATGTAGCTGGAAGGTACCCCACGGGGTTCAGGGGAGTGGGCTGGGCAGGGACCCAGGCCCTGGGAGAGGTCAGACTGCAGGGGACAGGGACATGGGTTGCTCTGGGCACACTGTATGGAGTCACCCAAGGCCTGGGGACTGGAATCTGGACCCCAGGCAGGGCCCTTGCTCCCGGCCTCACCACACACAGGCCCAGCTTTGACCCCCATGGGGTCACATCTCCCTGAAGACTGGGGGCGCACTGATGCTTCTGCAGTGAGGAGGAGCTGCCCTACCCTGCGCCTCCAGCCTGAGGCTGCTAGGGGCCCTTCCACTAGGCTGAGCGGCCGCCATGAAGTCTTGGGGTGGGCCCCAGTCACCTGCATGGAGCGCTGCTCCGGTGCCCCCCTCCCCGTCCTCCAATGGCAGCGGGCGCCTGGGCATTGCTCCCCTGGGCCCTTTTCCCTGTCCCGCTGCCGTCCCCCCACCCAGAGACGACACAGGCTCAGGTCCAACCTGGAGACCCCGAGCTTCCTCTGGAGCTGGGGCCGCACCAGAGGCTGCCACTGACCCAAGGCTGACACCCTGGGGACCTGGCTGGGGGGCTTACCTCAGGGGGCTTGCCCAGGTGCTGTGACAGGACGATGAGGTTGATCAGTGTCTCTGGGTGGCCGCTATCCTGGAAACGGGGTGGGGGGATAGCAGACGGGCAGGGTCAGCTCCTCCAGGCCCCCAGCTCGGCCTGCTCACGCCCATCTGGGGCAGGAGGATGCCCCCACTGCCCCAGGGTAAGGACTGACGTGACCTCCCAAAGTCACATCCCCAGAGGGAGAGCAGAGACAAGGCTGTGAGATGCAGAGTGTCCCTACACTGGCCGCTTGGCCGGGTGGTGGCCTCAGGGACACCTCTGCCCAGGGAGCAGTGTGGCCCTGCTGCGGAGCCGTGGGCCTCCGCACCTCCCTACCTCCCCACTTGGCCTCCCCTGCAGAGCAAGCTGGGATATAATTTGGGAGGGGTATATTTATCACGCCAGCCTCAAAGTAACAGAGCCCAGCCGGCGGGTGGCCTCAAACGCTACCGAAGCCGAGCTCTCCCTCCTGCTGCAGTCATGCGGTCTGAAACCACTGGCAGCCCCTGCCGGCCCTGCCTGCTCTCCAAGGGCCTTGGCAGGAAGTTGCTGGGAAATTACCAGAACCACCAGGCAGTGACCCCACCCCACCCACTGTGCCGGGCTCCGAGGCCCAGGCAACCCTGGGAAGCAGCCCAGCCACTGCTTCAGCTAGGATCCCCAGAATCTGCAAGGTGGCTGCAAGGCGGGGATGCTGGGGGAGCCCCGATGGTGCACTTGGGACAGATGCACCACCGGGGGTGCCCCGCCATGCAGGCTCCATGGCTGCACGGGCCCTGGCCTCCCACACGGCCACAGCTCCACCCCGTGGCTGCCCTTCTGGGAGGAGATTCAACCCCTCCCTGCCACTGTCTCCTCAGCTGCTGTGACAGGGACAATGGCGCACACCCACAGAAGCAGCTGTGAGGTGGTCACAAAAGAATGAGAAGGAGGAACAAGAATACTTGTGGCAAGTGGTCAGGAGCACACCGCGGCCACAGGTACAGGGATGAGCCGATGCCCTGGGGTG